GGAGCAGTGGGCAGCCATTTTTTGCTGCGGCGCCCGGGGAGCAGTTGGGGGTTCAGTGCCTTGCTCAAGGGCACATTCACTCCCACCACCTACAATCCCTGAAGCTCATTTGGGTTACGAGTCCGACTCTCTAACCATTAGGCCATGACTTCCCTGTTGCCGCGGGATGTTTTTCATGTCCGCGGGTTGAAGCGACCCCCAATAATGTGATAGCGACCCCCAATAATGGGATATTTAGCCCCTGGAAGACTACTTTTACCAGGGGTACCCCACCAAAAAATGTGTATTTTACCCCCCTGGAATGCGATTTTTACCGGAGGATTGCCCCCGAAAAGTGATTGGGCTAGTTTTGAGTAGCAATTGGGCGGGTTTTGCTGTGAAAACCTGGCAACCCTGCTTCAAATTACATTTTAGCCAGCATGCAAACACACTGCCGGTGTTCTGACGATTTGTGCTACCCGCTCAGATTGTGCTACTTCCCATTAAAAAGATAGATAGCACAAATCGATAGCAAAAATGCTACCTATCAGATTGTGCTACCAGCATCTTATTCATGTGGTTTGAGGCTTTTTTAAATGTTTTTAAAAAACCTACCCTACCCTAAACCTACCCATCCACACCTACCCTTACCCTAAACTTACCCTTAAAGGTCCCATATTGTCAAAACTGAAATTTCCTGGCTTTTTAAAAAATGTACACAACCTGCATAAAGTAGCTGTGATTTTTCACGAACCGTTGTGACTTCCGTAAAAAGTTGACGTCAGAACTACACAGTCAGCGCCCACAGTCCCACTCTCCTTTTGCCAAACCCCCAGACAACATCGTGTCCATGCCATTGCTGAGCAAGGACAACACGGAAACATGTCGAAAAGGTTAACTTTAACCACAAAACCAGATCGGCCGACCTGTAACGTTACACTCTCACTCAAAGGATGGACGATCTGACAGGATTGTTACTATGAGGTGGATCACATCTAACATTTAAAGTAAAGACAAACTCACCGTGTCTATCTCGTCATGATGAAGATGTATATACATTTCAATTTCAGCAGGTAACTATTTTTACATTTACATTATTTTTCAGCTACAATTAATCACAACAATGTATATACAATTACAAATGATTATATATAAATCATCAGTTTGTTGTTTTACACACATGCACACAGACATTATTTCAAACACGACATAGTCGTGAGATGCAAGAAACATGGCAAGAAATTTGTAGACGTGCCCATAACAACAAAAGACAATACTTTATTGAACCTTTTCTGATAAGAAGTGTGCGCTGCAAACACGAGCATTTTTGACGATCCTTTCTGTCCAGTCTGCTCGTTTTATCGTGTTTAACCACAGCTGTCGTCGGTTTTTTGTCTGGCAGTGGCAGCAGATACGTGATCAAATTTCTAATTTGAGGCTGTATTACGTCGATTCTGGCACCCAACATCACAACAAGATGATATCTTAAGCTCCTTATGTAGCTGAACCTACGCTGGTTTGAATGGGCTGCCTCCAGTTTCCCCTTTGTTTGAGATTGAGGTCTCTGCAGAGCAAAAGTGGGCGTTTCTGAATTTGTGTTTTCAAACTGCAGACTCAAGACTTTCAAACTGTTTCTCAATCATGCAATCAAAATGATCCCCCTTACCTAACCCCACCCCTAAACCTACCGTCACTATGACGCCAGCCAGTCAGGAAACATGGTCTAAAAACTGGTAACTCCCATTACTTTCCTGCAGAGACCTATACTTGGGGCTTTGTTTTGCTGCCTCCAGCTAGCGCTGTGACATCGGCTGACCCTAGTTACCTGTGGTTGGCCGTGCGTCACTCAGAAAACAACAGGCCAATCAGAAGAGAGGCTCATGAATATTAATTAGACAGGCCAAACTGTTCTCAGCAGAGTTCCTGAGAAAGGAGCTGTAAAAATATTTTGAGATGGTTTTTGGTACTTATACCGCAAATATATATTCTTAAGGGTATCAAAACCTAAAATAAAACTCCAGAAAGGTGTCAAATATGTGACCTTTAAAACAATGTAAATATATTTTTGGTAGCACAATCTGATAGGTAGCATGTTTCGTCGGTACACCTGCCAAAAGGGAAGAATAATTCAGTTCATGCTTGGAAAGTTTTCTGAAGTATCATGTGATTCTGAAGACGAGTAATGGCTGCTGAAAATTCAGCTTTGCCATAACAGAAATAAATCACATCTTAAAATATAGGCTATTAAAATAGAACACTTATTAAAAATTGTAATAACGTTTCACAATGTTAATGTTTTAATAAATAAATGCAGCCTTGGTGCAGACGTCTTTTAAAAACATATTCCAAACTTTTGGCTGACAATAGGCTAGAGAGAGAGGTATAGGCTATATATACATGTTTTGTAGGCTATTTCAATCAAGTAATAAAAAATAAACAATAGGCCTATAATAAATATCTCTATAAATGAGTCAAAACTCCAGTTACACAAAGGCTTTCTAGCAGTGGTCTTGTGTTGGATTCAAACAACTAGTTCAGAAATGTCAATTCAGTGTAAATTTAGTGAATTAGGCCTATATCTTAAATATTACACTGGTTAAAAAGTCTTGTATAACAAACGTCCAAATTGCATATGACAAAACACAAAAGATGGATTATTATTATGAAAATATGCAATCTATTTTATATATGTGATTTAATTTATAATTCCTATTATAAAATAACATTACAGAAACTACTATAAAAATGAAATATAACAGCACACATGGTCTGGTTTGATGTGTCAATTTATTTTTTTTTAAAAGCAAAGAAACTGTCTGTTTTAGGTGGCAAGTGAACACACTGGGCGAGTTTCCAAAATCTGAAATTTCCATTTTTCCATTTCACATTCTCCTCTTTCAGAACCGCTCGACTCCATCTGAATAAGATCAAAAACTGGAGTTTCAGTCAAAGTAGAAAAGGGTCTAACATGAAGACTGACAAATTCAGTAATGCTCATTATTGCTATAGCTTTTCTAGACTGATCCACCAACCTGCTTTGCCATCACATTTGATATGCAGTCTTCTCTCTACGATTTTCCTCTTTAAACAAACACACTGAGTATTGGTTAACAAGACTAGATCCACGAACAACCCTATGATATAACATTTTTGCAGTTATCAGAGGTGAATTTATTTCATAAGGAAAGAGTACTGAACAATACTGCATTAAAATTAGAAAACAAACAAAAAAGTAAAATAAAGCACTCCTATTAAAGCATCTCTGACATTATAGATTTCATATTTCTCTAAGACAAACTAATCCAGAATACAGTAAAAAAAACAATCACTTTAAAAAAGCAGCAGCAATAATGCTGCTGCTTTCTAAATACAGATACCAGCATTAAAGCACTGTACAAAACAATAAATAAAATTGATCAGGATATCAAGAAAACTGGATTGTAAAAAGTTTTACGACCATAACATATTCGGTTTAGAAGATTCAGCTCTTTTGTGGGTTTTGTGGATGACACAAAGGGGATTTGAGTGACTTTGTTGTTTGGTTGATTTACAATATGTAATCAATTGTAAGCAATAAAATGTAGCACCCACTACATGGACTAGGCACAGATTAGATGAGATCACCATCTCTTAAAAGTCCAAGCTACATTTAAAGTTACATTTGGAACAAAACTCTAGTTTAATAGCCTTAAAAATCTATTTATAAAATACTACAGCCTGCATATTTTGAGAACAAAACATGATATGCCCAGTTTCAGCTTCAAATGTCTATAACAGAAGGCTTGTAAGCTTAAAACCTCAACATTTTGTCATTTAATGTCAAATGCCTGTATTACTTCTTTAACTGGTGGATTTACAGGCTTAAAAAAAAAAAAAAACGGTATGTTTAAATCACACACACCCAATCACACGCACTGGAACAACCATAAAAATAACAGCCAATATCCAGAATGCTCGGTTGTGCTATAAATCTCAAATTTTAATACACAAAAAATAAGAGAAATACAGAAATAAAACAACTCGCTCAGCCTGAATATAAAGGATGTACTTACAGTATTAATGTCCATATTAAGAAAGAAAATAAGGTCAAGCACACATCAAAAGACTTTCCACCACTGAAGGTGGTGCATGAGATGAAGAAATCAACCAACCTCACAGCCGTGTTGATAAAATGAATGGAAAGACCCCATAAGTATTTCCCACCTGCACACACACATCCACTCAGTTCACAGTTTGATGGACAAAAAACATGAAGTCTCAAAAGATCCTAGTTGTGTCGAGTGAATTTCACACTCTATTGCCCTTACAGAACTGTAATGAAAATATATATAAGTATATAAAGGACTGTTATTTCATGATTCCACCTATTTGAATAAAATGCCACGTCATTTGGAAGGACTTCAAGTCTATTAATGTGCGATTCTGCAGTTAAGAGGCATTTTTGTGTTTGTGTAATCCTAAAAATGCAACGTCATTAAACAGTTTCATATAACTTATCAAGTGGATTTTGAAATAATGTCAGTTGTGTGCTTGGTCTAAAAAAAAATAATCATAAAATTAATTGATAAAATACAATTCTTGGCATGGCAGTGATGACAGTAGTATTGGATAAAAAAAAAAAGCTATAAAAATGTATAAATAAATCACAAATAAACTGAACACATCTTTAAGGGGGAAAAAAATTATTAGAGAGACCAAAAAGAAAGAAAAATGTAAAGATTTTCCCTTAAAATCATCCGTGGGTACCGAAAAGTTGCCCTAATTGAAGAATCACCCTAATATGAAGTGTAGGCTTGATTTGGCTGTTACACAAGACATTGCACCAAGATTTTGTTTTGTTTTTTAAAAGTGTCCATTTCTGAATATTTCTGTCTGGCGCTCTACACTCAAATCACCTCTGAATCTACATGGAATGACAAAATAGCCTTATTTTACATTTGTTAATTACAACATCCTCATCGCCAATTGAAAATACCTATTATAAGTGAATAACATTGAAAATTCACTGATCTACTGGTTGCATTTCAAAAAGACACAATCCCCCACCCCCCCGATCCAACAGGTGAACAGAAACGAGGTAGCCTAAAAGGAAGCTCTACTCACAAAACACTACCCTTCGTTCACGGATTCATGTGATTCACACAGAGGAGGAGGTGGATCTTACAGAACCACAAACAGCATCGCACATTTCTGTCACATCCTCACAGTTCCTATGCATTCGATTCGGAGGCAGGACTCTTTTCCGAAACGGAAGTGGATATTTACAGAGGGTGGAAGTGAATGTCCCTCTAGAAAGAGTTGGAGATCCATCATGAGGAGAGGTGAGCAATCGACTCACCAGGCTCGATTCCCTTGGCCTTTATTGCACTTTGCTGAAAGTCATGAGAAAACCAACTCAAAAATACAAAACTGCAGCACATTCTTATTCTAATGACACGTGTTACTCCTGATACGAAAACAATTGAGATTGCTGGTATGTTAATGGTTATTTTTGTATCATTGGTGGAAAGCATTACATCTCATCATTCATTCACATACACACACTCTTACAAAGAAACGGTGATACTCTAAACAGAATCTTAATGTACTTTTTTATGTTTCAATAGAAAGCTCTGTAGTATTTACCAGTCAGTTGAAGTATTCAGACGGTTTCTTAGCACTGTGGTGATAAAGCGTTCCAGAATCATCTCTGCAGACCAGTTTCACCCTTAAATACAAATTACGGTCTAATCCAATCCATATGGAAATTCAAGTTCTCATAGGGCCAGTAAAACACCCAAAAATGACTCGCCTTATTGTCTTTCCAATATTTTTGTCAATGTCCAGACTGTTATTTGTGAACAAAACTTTTTTGAGCCTGTTCCTCACACAAAAACATCATATGGCTTCAGAAACTAAAAATACAGTGCATATTGACTACTTTTATGATGTTTTTTTTTGTCTGTAATTTCATTTACTTTCAATTCAATTACTTTCATTGTATGGAAGAGAGCAGCTTGAACAGTCTAATAAACTTCTCTTTTTATGTGTAACTGAGGAACAAAAGTCTTACAGTTTTGGAACGGCATGAGAACAGAATTGTAATTTTAGAGTGAACTATCCCTTTAACATAAGTTGTAAAGACAATGGAAATGAATATAAAAAGGTCTGATCGACAGCACCATCTCCCTGAGCACTAGGAATACAGTGCCAAACCACAGGCTCCAAATGTGAATACTATAGAGCTTTGGGATAAAACTAGGAATGCACAGCATGAATATTCAGAATCATTATATAGTTCCGTTATACGTCCATTTCAGCAGGCATCGATTTCCATCCAAAAAAGTAGCATTTTCCTTTCCTTACAGAAATATAGATGCATAAACATCAATATATTATAGACTTGAAAATAAAACCGAGCAGCTTTGCAAATTCATATTTAAGGCATTCTGTGGACAGCCCGAAGTGTGTCTGCTCCAACATAATGTGGCAAAGTATCATACAAGTCTTAAATATCAGACATTAGAGTGATATCCACATGAAACAAACATCTGTGTGCATTCCAAGCTGAAACATAAAAAAGAAAAAGGTTGATCACACAAACCAGCCTCAATGGATTCATCCCGCAAGGGAGGTTTACTGACGTTCAGCGCAACCGTGATAAATTATTGTCGAAAAGTGTCTTAACAGTACAAATATTCACTCTACTCTGTGGGTCTTATTCCCCATATTTCCAGTCTTCACCTCCAGAAGAATCTAGATAGAGATTTGTAAGGACAAAAACACCAGAACCCTACACTTGTTAATAAAAGAGCCATAAAAATAATGCAGACCGGTTGTTCTTCTCCTCCGGCGCCCCTTGTTGTTGGGCGGGGGCGTGTGGATTTTGGGTTTGTCTTTTGACTCTTCTGAGAAGGTCCCAGCAAGGTTTGGTCTTTTTGCCGTCTGCCAGATTATCCAGCGCACCTGGATTTTCCTGTCTTTCCTTTTTTCACACTTTTCAATAAAGTAGAAAAGGTCCACAGATACAATGCAGGGAAGGGCGGGGATGAATTACCAATTCATCATGGAGTTTCTGTTCAAGGTCATGAAGAAAACTTGGCTGCTGCCTCCTGATCTGACTGAGGCAAAGAACACCTGCGACAAAGAAAAGAGTCCACATGGAGGAATGGACGTTATTATATTGCCTATTATTCACATTCAAAGGACCAAACTCTTACAATCTACTGCCTTGGCTGTCTACATTCAATTTCCAATCAGGCTTATTTTCAGGTATTTTATTTCAGCTAGTTGCCGAGGCAATATTTCTCACTTTCATTTAGTTTAACTTGATGTACTATAACTAAAAAACATACATTAAAGTTTTTTTTTTTTTTAAACGAATAAAATGACAAAAACACAAAATAAAACATTTAAATTAAAATCAAACAGAAAATATAAAATAAACACTAAACACTAATTTAAATTATTGATAAAATAATAGTATAATAATAGTAATAGTATAATAGTATATCAATGATACTAAAACACTTATCAATTTAAGTTATCCACTACATGGGTCAATGACACATCCATGATAAAAATAAATAAATAAAAAATAAAAAACAACTTTTGAAAGTTTAAAACAAACAAACAAGTTCACAGTTGGTTTATAATTTTGAAAATTACTATTTACAAAAAAATAAAATAAAATTAATGACAGTTCAAATTTTAAATGTCGTGGTAAAATCAAGCAAAATGTAATAACATACTTTACTTTAATTTGATTACATTTGATCATAAAAGTTAATTATGTGATTATATTACATGAATGTACATACCTTGTTCATTATATTCAAAAAAGTATTAAGTATTGAAGGTAAAAAAAAGTTTTTTTATAGAAATTTTATAGAAATATTATATTTTATATAATTTTTTTATAGAAACATTTTATAGAAATATTATTTGCTTTATAAATACCACTTTCAAAAAAAAAAAAATTTTTCTACCAAATAATAGATTATGTCATGAATTTAATTTTTTTATGAGCTATTTTTCTTCATTATCATATCAGGACAGGTATCTCAATCTAGCATTTAAAAAACAAAAAATAATAAAATAATACATTATAAATTAATGCTAAATAAATGAAAAAACCCCAACAAACAAAATAAGCATCATGTCATTCACCCATGAAGACTCACTTAATTTAAAGGTGTAGTGTTTAAATTTGAAATATTGTTAACTGTACCAAAAAAGAGAAATATAATAATGAAAATGAATAAAATAAATGACAAAAAAAATGTCTAGGTAACAAACAAACCTAGTGTGTCGTGTCATTGACCCATAGAAAGACCCACATAATTTAAAAGAAGTGTTTAATTTTTAAATATAGTTAATTGTAACCAAAAACAGAGAGAGTAAAAAGTAATAGTAAGATCATCCATGGGCAAGTTGCATCATGGTGGTAACGTACTTTATCGTTTCTCTCCGAAAGGAACTTCAGTCGCTGTGCTCTGTCTTTAGTGATTCTGCCGTATGTGTTCACATAGACTCCCTCATCTTCATAACACAGAAGCATCTCCATGCCGTCGGTCTTGGGTAGCACCACAATGGCGTGAGCGGTAACACTGCCCTGAATCTGGGAAGGGAGGGGTGGGCGCAGATGAGCCTTGGGGTGACAAAAACGAGCCGTAGTGCAAAACATTCCCCACTAGGTGACGCTCTCCCCCCTCCCCCGGGCGGCCCTGTCAGTCATGTCTCGTGCTGAGGGTGGCCAGAGCTTCTCCCTTCGAGAAACTGCTGCAACAATCGAGACTCCTGCCCTCCGCTCGACCGCATCGGAATGGTTTGGCTGCTTTGGTTCGTGCACGTGTTTGGTTTGTCAAAGGTCGGAGATCGGGAACATGTTTTCTTCTTACAGTGGAGATACTTTTCTATCACACTTGACAATGTTAGAACAATCATGGCAGTTACGTGCAGTGTAATGAAATCTGTTTTAGACAACTTCATAACCATTCATCTGCACACAGAACATTCATACGTGTTGCTCTAAACTGTGTAACCAGGGTCCAAAATTTACATTTGAATGTTTTTTATTACTAATATATATATTCATTATTATTAATTCAATGCATTTATTCTTATTTCTATTTAAAATAAATATTGCATAAAGAAAGCAGCTAAAACTTGTGTCAAACATTACAGGTCATTGTGGCAGCACCATATACAAAAGCACATCATGTTTGAGTTTCCCATACTACAGTTTAAAAGTTTAGAATAATTAAGAAAAAAAAAAAAAAAGAGGTAATATTTTGATTCCTGAAGTAATTGTTGCTAGAAATTCAGCTTTGCAACCACATCAATAAAACACATTTTAAATATATTGAAATAGAAAACAAAATGTATTAATGTTATTATTAAATAATAATATTAGTAATAATATTTCACAATATTACTGTTTTTCCTTCTTTTTTTAATCAAATAAATGCAGCCTTGCTGAGCATGAGAGACGTTTCAAAAACAATAAAAATTCGTAATTATTCCAAACTTTTGACCAGTAATGTATATTTTAGACATTTTACCTAATATATGTTTTTCTGGATAAATGGACAAAACGATACCTTTTAAGTACTTTATTAAGCTAATAAAAAGTTAAGATACATTTATTATAATAAACAAAAAAAGTGTTATATAAACTAAAAAAAGTTGTTAAAAGAAAATTGCTTTGAATATTTATGTGTGGAAGTATAAATAGCTAAAAGTTAACACCCAACTGGGAAGCGTTTTATTTTTCTCATCAAAGCCAGGTTTTACTTGCATTTGGTTTTAGTGTTAAGTTTGGACCCTGTCTGTAATTAAAAGGCACATATGTGATGCAGACATCAACACTACAGTGCATCCCAGTGTCCCCAGAGAGGAGTCGTCCTATTTAAAGTCCCTTAGGATCAGGGTAAGGAGGGGAGAGCTGCCTCCACTCGGCCTGTCGTCACTTACGTGGGACGGAATGTAGATATCGTACGGATTCCCAGAGTCGACATCTATCACATGAAAACCAACGCTGGAGCCATAGATAACCTTTAACCGCTGACCCTCCTCCACCGTCAGGTCCACAAGCATAGGCTTGTGCTGAAGATCTGTGAAAGACTTTGGAGAGACAGAAGAGACAATGAAAACACAATATACAGTATTCCCAAAGAAATATGCTCTGTGCAGGTGTTCTTTGACACACTCACAACACTAGTCACAAGTACTAAAATAGCTACTTATTTTGCACATTTTGTGCTCTGTCCTGCCAAATAAGTTCTAAGACCTGTTTTTCTTTTAAAGTAATGCAGTTCATTTAAAATTAACACACAAACGCTCTTTCTTAAGGGGGTAAAGGGGTCTCACTGGACCGAACATCAGTCTCACCTTGAAAGCCATGAATTTGTGGTAGGGTTTGGGAGCCCAGGCATAAATCTCCACTGAATTCTTCAATGCAATCACCAAGAACTTAATCCTCTCATATTTGACTGTTAAATAACAAATACATGTGAAAATATTATTAGTATTTTATAAACCACATTCTCCGTTTCTCTGTATCTCTCTCTAAATTAGGGGTGGGGCATATGACCAAAATCTTATATCACGTTATAGTTATTTTTGCTTTAAATAAGGTCTTTATGATATCAAAATGTT